ATAAAACAGGACTACCCCAATAAAATACACCAGAAAAAGGCTAAAAGCTTTGCTTATTTTTCAGATAATAATACAGTTACAGTATTTTTTTATATATATATATTTTTTTTGCTTGATAAGTCAAAGACTAGGTTCCAAATAATCCAAACTTTGAACTATTATCTTTTTTTTTTTCTTCTTTTTTTTTTGTATAATATATGGGTTAGCTGTTCCAAGGAATTAACTTAAATGAGCTTGTGCCAACCTTTAAGTGATGAAAATTTATCACTAATCCAATTAGGTAAAATATTTTTTCTGGCGGCAAAGGTTAAAATATTATACTACTTTTTAACTAATGAAAAAATGCTTCCATAAGGTATACCCAAAGTCAATGAAACTGGGTCAAAATCCAGCTGCCCGTTAAAGATTATTTCTTTTTCCCCCAGCACCAAAGATCAATACCTTTGCAATCTGTTACATGACCACATACAATGCGTTAAAGTACCTACTTCAGTTTTACATTTAAAACACATTGGCGAATTAAAAGGGTTAAAAAATGTCTGCGGTTAGGAGAGATATGGAGTTTATATTGTTTTATATTGTATTTCTCATCCCATGTTTCCTCATCAATATCATATAAGTCTTCCTCCCATTTGGTTTTAAGACTTTTTCTATATTTAATTAACCTTATTTTATTGAAATTACAAAAGAGTACTGTGTAATTTTTCCTTGTATAGCCATAATGGTCAAGTTAACTGCATGCATTTCAGGGTCCTCTACATTTTCCCGTGCATTTGAATATGCGTGTCCCTGTTGCCTAGCAATGTCTGCTAACAAAAACACACTTTCTGATAGCAAAAAAACTAACTTTATTTCAAACATGCCTTTCAAACTTCCAAAAATAGATTTTTACCTGAAACTTTGCTCTCCCGCTTGTGCCGAAGTGTGCTACACACCTTCATGGGATGTCTGTAAAGGCAAAAATTCAAAGCTTCATTTTAAAATCATCACTTGAGTTTTAAATCTATATATGACATGACAAAAACCTGATTCTGCGCAACCTTGTATGACTGGTCAGAATGATCGATATGGCCATTGAAGTAGTTCTAGAATTTTGTTAGTTTTAGTGTCAATGAGGCTTCCCAACAAAGAGAATGACAACGCTGTTATCATGTGACATTCAAGAGACTAAAAGAGTTTTAATAATCTGAACTACTTAGTTTTTTTTTCTTGTTTCAATCTAAAAGATCCTGCCCACGCTGCTCAGAGCAAAATGTAGATAAATACATATGTTGTCTCAATACCAAATCCAACACACAACACAATTTCTATGACAAAGAATGCATAAATGGCACAGAATGCATAAATGTGCAAATTGGGACACACCCATTGTAAATAATTCAGACAACTGAAGAAGAGCAGCTACCTGTGCAATGGAGGAAAGTAGGAGGTAGATCCATAAATCACATACTGGGGTGCTGATGACAGTTTTGTGGCTGGCAGACACTGTAATTGCATATCATTACTTGAAGGAGCACACCAAGCTCCCGTTTGAGAGACTAGCTAGCTGTTAGAGGGACCTGTGATGACATCAGCTGGTAAAACAGTCAATGCCTTTCTGCTTATTTGGTATATCTAACACAGACATTGAAGACAAATGTTTCTAGGTATTGTGGTGAAGCTGTTTTTTTTTCTGATGCGAATTGATATGCTCAAGCACTTCAGTTTGTAAGATAATTGTGTGATCAATTTGGTGTGTATTTTATGGTGTTGTGGCAGCCTAGGGCAGTCTCTCACAGACAGACAGAGAGGCTGATGGGTCTATTCAGGGCACAGAGTGAGAGCTGATGGATTCCCATGCCTGTTTTCTTGTTTACAGCTGCAACAGCAGATAGCTAGCATGTTCATCAGGCCCCCTCTCTTGCTCACAAATTCCTCCCACATTAAGCAACAGTGCTGTGCCTTCGCAGTCGAGTGGATCTTGCATTCCTTGGACAATGACAAACAGATCTAGGCTGGATTCTTCCTTTGCCCACTGTCTCTTAAATTAAAACAGAATGGTCACATCGTTGCTACAACTTTAGGGCTGAATGAACTCGTTTTCTTGGCTTGTTAACAGTGAATGGGTATGGTTGCTCCAGCAACTGAAGAAGTGAATGAATACACAACATTGACCTCACTAAATGCTTCACATAATGAAGGTTCAAGTTAAAAATCCCATTTTAGAAATGTTCACAGCATCTCACAATATTTTGTACATTCCATTTAATTTTTTTAAATTTGACTTTATTTTAAATCTGAACCTTAGGTAAAGATAAAAAGTGCTTTGTTAGTAAAGAATAATCGACTCTGGTCTATTAAATGTGGCCAAGGAAGAAGAAGGTAAAAAAAATGTCAGCTTCAGTGTCAGCTGCACATCCATGATGCAAATCTCCCCTTCCACCACATCCTAAAGGTGCTCTATTGAGTTGAGAACTGGTGACTGTGGAGGCCATTTGAGTAAAGTGAACTCAAAGTCATGCTCATGAAACCTGAGATATAAGATGATTCGCACTTTATGACATGATGCGTTATCTTGCTAGAAGTAGCTATCAGAAGATGGGTACACTGTGGTCATAAAGGGATGGACATGGTCAGCAACAATACTCAGGTAGTCTGTGGTGTTGACACAATGCTTAATTAGTGCTACTGGGGTCATAGCGTTGCAAGAATATATTCCCTTCACCATTACACAACCACTACTAGGCTGAACAATTGATACAAAGCAGGATGGATTCATGCTTTCATGTTGTTGACACCAAATTTTAATCCTACCATCCGAATGTCGCAGCAGAAATCGAGACTCATCAGATCAGGTAATGTTTTTCCAATCTTCTATTGTCCAATTTTGGTGAGCCTGTGCCAGTTCTAGCCTCAGTTTCCTGACAGGATTGGTACTTGGTGTGGTCTTCTGCTGCTGCGGCCCATACTTCTCAAGGTTGAACATGTTATGCATTCAGAAATGCTCTTCTGCATACCTTGGTTGTAACAAGTGGTTATTTGAGTTACTGTTGCTTTTCAATCAGCTTGAATCAGACTGGCTAATCACCTCTGATCTCTGACATCAACAAGGCGTTTGTGCCCACAAAACTGCGCTCACTGGATATTTTCTTTTTTTCTGAATATTCTCTGTAAACCCTAGAGATGGTTGTGCTTGAAAATCTCAGTAGATCAGCAGTTTCTGAAATACTCACACCATTCTGTCTGGCACCAACAACCATGCCATGTTCTAAGTCACTTAAATTTTCTTCCCCATTCTGAAGCTCGGTTTGAATTGCAGCAGATCATCTTGACCATGTCTACATGCCTAAATGCACTGAGTTGCTGTGCTGCCATGTGATTGGCTGATAAGAAATTTGCGTTAAAGAGCAGTTGAACAGGTTTACCTAAGAAAGTGGCCAGGGAGTGTACATTTTGTTATTGCAAAAAACAGAAATGTGCTCACATCTAGAAAATCTTGAAGGCAGGTGCTCGATCAAAAAACAAACATTAGTAGCAAAAAATCCAAAGAAAATCGGCACACTGCCACTTTTGCTTTCAAAAAAATCTTTAATGTCAAAGTCATTATGTTTCGACCGACATGGTCTTCATCTGGCAAAGCATTGTAAAAGATTTTATTATTTTATTATGATTTTTTGCATTTTATTATTACCATTAAATTTCTCTATGGAAATGTTATAGTTTTAGAAATATTGCAATGCTTAATTGCAATAATTCATGTTTTTCCAGTACCGTACAGGCCTATAATACTTTAGATGAATATAATTTTTTACATACAGTGTCAGTGTATAATAATGTTGTATTCTTTCCAGAAAAAAACAAAACCTTAAAATGAAATAATAAAAAAAATAAATACATATTGTAAAACTTTCAAATAGTGTGATTGTATTTTTTTTTATTTGAAACTTTTAATTTAAACTTGCATATGTTTGTTGGACATGTTTGTTGGATTCTTTCTTTTTTCTTTTCTTTTTTTTTTTAGTTCGGATTGTGAATAAGTCAAATACAAATCTTGGTTTATACATTTCACTCAGCTCTTGTATACACCCTGTTCATTCACTTCTTTTTTTGTTGTGCATAATTGTGCAAGCAGAATATTTGACAATAAATCTTCATTTATTCACATGTCATCTGACTTCTGCAAAGTAAACCGAGAGAACGATCAGGACTTACATTTATTTAAAGGGGTTTATGCTGCGATAATTATCTGCTGACTGTACTTTATCCCGTTTATTCAATGTTGAGTTGTTATTTCAGGATGTGAGAAGAGCGATATATTTGAATAGGTCACAAAAAGAACTAAACTATAGCACAGTGTAATCCACTAAGTAAGCAGTTATTACACTAAGATATTTGATCTCAGAATGCAGCGATTGACCAATCACAAGTGAGTATTCCAGAAAGTTGTGTAAGAAGGATAAATAACAGTCCTCAGTGCTCATTCTCGGCAAGTGTTTAGAATTTTTTTGCACTGTAAAATATAGGTTATGCAGGCAAAAGTGGCACATTACATGCTTTTCACAAAGGAATGAAGCGTGAATTCATAAAACTCTCTCTGCCAATAGAGGCTGTAAATAGTTTCAGCGTTCAATCAGTCTTGTAACTGTGGTCTTCAAAGACATTGACACCCCCGGCGCTGCTTACGCTAGCACTATGATGAGGCTTTTTTCTCAGTTGCTTAAACGCTTTGGTATTTTTCAGACATTAAAACGCCTTTGAGCAGTGTCATGTTTGGGAGACATTGGCAGCCTTTGTTTTGGCCTTTTGCACGGCCATAGATAATTGATAACGTTCAAATTCAGATGGGTCTCAGTGCTGATTTGCATTAAAATAATTTTACATGGAAAAATGTTTCCTCATGCGTAAATGAGCATTTGTTTAAACCAACAGGCATTCTGACTGTTCGCTGTTTCAGTGTAGTTTTTTTCATGTCAGTCTTTTAACGTATACATTTACCTCATGAAATGTATTTTCTCCTGCAGGTGGGAATGTTCGCCTAGCGGTGCACTTCATGAAACGTCATGTCAACCTGAGATGCATTGTCAGGCAGCACTACAGAGGTAGTTTATTTCTTCTCCTCGTTGGCTAAAGGTTTGTGTATTTTTTTTTCCACATTAACGTGCCTCATGATTGTATCAGAAGCACCTGTGTTGTTACTACTTCGTACAGCTGTCAGGCTCAGTCGGGGGTCACTGTCCGGATCACTTTATTTTGGAAAAAGTTGACTGAAATATGTGGAAACTCACGATGAACATGATTGAAAATACATTTTATGCCGAACTTGTGGTTTCAAGTCAAATTTATAGAGATCTAAGAGAAACGTCTTTGAAGAAACCACCCTTTATATCTGGCTAGACAGTTGGAGACGAATGCACTTCATCCTAATAGCTGCAAAGCTCAAATACTCGAGACCAAAGCCAAGTCAGTCTGAGTCAGGCTTGACAGCAGCTCACAAGGAAAATGTGGTTTGCTTATCTTAGTAAACAAGTTTAGACTAAAGTTTCAGTGTGTCTTCAGAGGTATGCATGTCAGACTTCATGAAGGAAATTATAAACTTCATTGTAGGTGATTTATGTTCAACACGGCTCAAAGAAATACAAACAATGTAGGAGCCTACAGACTAATAAGGCTATCCGGTATAGATTATTTTGAGTGATCTAGAAAAAACAAAGAGAAAAAGCAGCCGACCAACAATTTGCTTGGCCTTCGTTTTTCAAGCTAAATTTGGCCAAGTTTGGAGGAAATAAAGCGGAATACATCAAACAATGTGGTTTGTTTTAGTTATATCGAGTTACATATTTGAAACTTTATTGACTGAGGGGCAGCGGGGACATGAAGTCGCCCAATGTTAATGTTCAACTTTATGCCATTTTCTCAAAAACAACACAGCGTAGGGTTGCATAGTATTCAATTTTTCCCATGAAGAGGGCGTTGGGGTCAGTCTATCCTGCTGATGCTCCTGAACATTCATCGTCTGTGAGAATTTAATATGAATATCATACTTATTTCCCTCCCACCTTTCCATTTCAACCATTTTACCATTGTAAATTGACTGTATATACAGTAATAATGCCTTAAATGCTTTCCAACCCACTTTGTTTTTGACCTTCAGAGTTGCGTGTATTTCCCGAGCGTGTTGTAGTGTGTGCCAGTCCTCCAGAGAATTCCGCACTTCCCAATGGAAATCTGAACCTGGATGTGGTAAGAACTGCTTATGTTATAAAATAATGTTTATAATCAGTGTCGGAGAAGCTCCTTTTTAACTAGCTTGCCAAGCTACAGTCTACTTAAATAAATGTTGTTAAACTACAGTCAAGTGACCATCTTTAAAAAAAAAAAATGTATATATATTTGTCTGCCCAAAAGTATCTGTTTTGAAGCTAAACTGATTTTATTCTGTGGACAGTCTGTGGGCTTGACTTCTGAGGTGGTGACTAGTTATTCTCCAACTCTTTATATAATATATAAAGAATGTAAGAAAATGAAGTACATGTGTCTTTACTGTATAGTGTTTCCCAATGTTGAACCCATTCTCTGCAAATGCCATGAAGTGGGTTCTGGACTCATGTAGTTGATTCCTATGCGTTTTATTCTTCCCCTCTCTTATTATGGGGTGACAAATGAGTAGTTGAATGGGACTGATTGGTGAGGCTCTTTTTGCTCTATACTGTTCTGTGAGGTGGACCACTAAATTCCTTTGGCCTAAGACACGGAGCCCTAGCTTCTATATTCCAGTGAGTGCAGCATGTAAATATGACCACGAAGCTGTACATCGAAAGTTCATAGCAGACTTTCTCAAACGTTTTTTCACACAAAGAGGCCCTTTTTAAGATTTGAAAGGCTTTTTATGACACAAACAAACAACAAGTGGGTGAAATTATGTGAAAAATGTGTGAAATAATGGTAAGTGTGGTATTGTAATGTGGAAGATATATATATATTTTTTAAGTATTTATGTTGTAATTTTACCAAAGTATGCACTGGTAAATGAATGTTCAATATTTGCCAAATATATTCCTACATTTGCAGTGACCTTGGTTTATAAATGGTTGAACATTTTAAAGAGAAACACATGTAATATTGTGTAAAACTGTGGAAAAATAAAACTCAGGTTTATTTGTATAACTCTTGATTACAATAATTCTTGTTTCAAAGCAGCTTTAGAAAATCGCAATAGCAATAGAACATTTTCCTACCCTACCCCCCTCTCTCTCTCCAAATTGCTTTCTGTCTCAATACTGTCCTATCGAATAAAGGCAAAAAGCCAAAAAAAAAAAGAAAAAAAAGAAAAGTTGTATATTATAGCATTACAATGAAATTGAATTATAACTTACAATCAAATCTCATCTAATTTTTGTCCACAAAAATTTAATCAAATATAAGTTATTATATCAAAAACATAGTTAACCTGGAGTTTTAAAGCATATAGGTAATGTCTATGAGTAACGGACACCAGCTAGAGAAGTGCTAGTGAAGACACCTTACTCCTCTTATCTCTAAAGGTGCTCTATTGACAGACGCTTAAGGTCATGGTCTTTAGCCTCCTCGTTAGAGCAACCAACTCAGATGCAAAAAGCCGGATCCTAGCTCGGAGCAGCTAGGGTGGTGCAGGGCTGGCTCTTATTACATTGGTACCGTGACTCAAATGGAAGTGAGGTTTAGGGGGGTGAGTTTAATGGACGCCATCTAGTGAAGTGTTATGCAGGTAAATGTTACTCCTCTTTCCTCTAAAGATGCTCTCGCGGCAGACGCTAAAGGTCATGGTCTTTAGCCTCCTTGTTAGAGCAACCGACTTCCATGCAAAGAGCCATCGGTTCGATCCCAGCTGGAAGCGGCTAGGGTGGTGTAGGACTGGTTGGGTTACATATGTTTACATGTTTAATGAAGTTTATTAAGTGGATCCCATCAATGGCGCTTCACAATCTCTAGAGGCCTCGGGATGAGTATCCCCAGGTGGCAATTGAAAACAAAGAAAATTATTAGTGTAGCTGCTGTTTATAGTGTATTTAAACAAGAGATAATACATGTCAATGCCAAAATGAAGAGCTATAAACGAAAATAGGAGTTATATAAACAAACATAGAAACAAACAAATAAAACATATCATCAGTATTTCTAACAAATGGCCTGGTGCAATAAGACATCAGGAGTGTGTCCTACAGGTGGTTTGTCAAGCCCACTCACCTGCATGGAGCACACTCACACATCCCACAGTTATTTGATGCATTGCTTGTATGCTTTACTTAAAAGATAAGTCTTTAATCTTGTTTTGAGTGTGTGTCTAAGCCTCAGACATTATCAGGAAGGCCATTCCACAGTTTAGGAAAAATGTGTGTTTTTTTTTTTTTAAGTTTAAGTTTTTTAAACAATTAAATCGTTCATAATTTGTCAAAGTTACAAATGGTACAGTCACATTGCGATATCGATGCTGAAACGATATAAAGTGCAGCCGTAGCAGAAACGTCTTTACTTTCATAACACCTTCAATGCTTTATTTACCGTAGGAAATGAAATCCAGTGTGTTCTGAAGTCACGAGTTGCATCACTGGTACACTATGTGTTTTGCTTCAGAAGCAAAGCCACAGTTTTACTTGGCTCACACATATGTTCTCTTACTCACCTACTTTTATGGCAACGGTTGTGTGTGTGTGGGTATATGAAGACGGTGCTTTGGTTCAGCAGGATAGTGGTTGGATCTCTGTAGCCACAAATGTCCAATCAAAAGCATCCTCATTTGGACATCCCGCTGAGTGTCCCAAGTCTTGCAATCTGCTGCATCCTCACCCCCCTCAAGTCTTTTCATGTCCACTTCTTCCCTCTGAGCCTTATCCTACTTTATCTTCCAATAGAATCCTGGGAAATCTGCACAGAGCCGCCCACCTTGGTCGCACATCAAGGACAAAGACAGTTTCCCATCTGTTTTGCCATTAAAGTCGGTACTTTTTTGGGTTGAATCATTTACCGTTGTTTTTCTTCAAGACGTTTTGTTTCAGCCTTTTTTTCCTGCGTTGCTTTGGCTTTCAATGAAAGCAAGAATTGTAATAATTTGAGTGAAGTTATCCAGTTCGACAGTGAAAAGTTCACATTGTGTAACCGCTTTTCCAGTTCAGGGAAAGCAGGGCCCTTGTTTTTGCATTCCCCTCTTCAGGATGTGGTTCTCTGTGCTTGTGTTTGCTGCGAGGAAGGGTTAGCAGGAGCTTGCGGTGGTGCTTTCACTATTTGGCAGATTGGAGAAGAGAGGCATCAGGAGAGCGAGCTGGAGTTTCTCTCATGACAAAACAATTATTTCAGTTACTCCGCACTAATTTGTCACTGGAAGCTTTTTCAGCCTCTCTCTCTTTTTTGTAAACCAGAAAAGTTATGAATCTTATTAGGAAATGTGGCTCAACCGTATGAGTCACATACAATGTACAATTTCAATTTAAAAATGATAATGGCTCGGTGAATTTGTTCTTCCAGTGTTGTCATATGTTTATGGTGAGCTGCTCTCACCGCAAAGCTTGACAGCGCGAGTCTGAATGACGCCACATGTTTTCAGGGAGTTTGGGAATTTGTCTGTCTGTGGTGCTTCTATATGATTTAGTGCTTAGTTTGGAAAACAACCTTTATATCAGCTTTACTGGGCTGCCATAACACCTATCCGGAGGTCAGAAGGTTGGACAGCGAGTGCTAATACAGCGTGTGGTTTCTTGAAGGAGTGTGAAAAAGATATGTGGTGCTATTTGGAAAGTTGAACCCTGGAAGGGATGTTTCATGAACTGGAAGGTGACTTGTGTTCCTTGTCAGGGCCAGATTAATGGTTTCTTGAATGATTCACATCCTGAAGTGGTCAAGCTGGATGGATCCTGCATTGTTGCATAGCAAAGAAGTGATGCGAGTGCTGTGCACAGTCAGCATTGCATCATGTCATCACGATAGAGGCGACAGACATCTCTTCCTTTTCCTTTTAATGCTTTTCCTGAAACACTTTCAGAGGGTTTCTTCCATTGAGACTGTTTTTGGTCACACCTCACATTAGTAGTGTTTGTGCTCTCTTATACTCACTAAATGTACATTTAATTTAATAGAAATAAAGTAAAAGAGTAATATTGTGAAGCAAAAAAAAAAAAAAAAAAACAGCAATTACTGTGATCTTCAAGGTCACGTAACCTTTCAGGAATTATTGGAATATGCTGAGTTGGTGAAGTTTTTGTGCTGCTTAAGATTTTCTTTTTTTTCCTTTTTTTTTCAACTATTTGATGAGTAATGTAAATGTCTTTACTGTTGTTTAATCAATTTAAAAGCTATAGATATATTTAAAATTTTATATATATATATATATATATTTTCACACTGAGGACAATTGACATACTCAAAAACAACTAATAAAAATAGGGTAAAATGCTCACCTATGTTCCAAAAGGAAACGCAATGCAACACAATAAAGAGCCGACTATAAAAGCTTAAACAAAAATGAATATGACAAATAGTTCTTGTTTTGTTGAAATCTTTTTTTCTTTTTTTCCATTTAGTTTTGCCATTTAGACTTGTGAGAACATACTTGCATGTTGACAGAAGATAAATAAAGTACAATTTACTTTGATCTTGAAGTTTTGAGACAATTTAGGACTGTACAATATTTTCTCTATATAATATATAACTCTATTTAATTTTTTTGTACATTATTATGTTATATTATTATATAAATGTCTAACATTATTCAGGTACCAAAATTCAAAAAAAAAAAAAAAACACTGTATAGTCTTTATTGTATAAATAATTCAATACAATTCAATTTTGTCAAACTTCCAAACATAATTTCTTGTGCATACTGTTACAGGCCTTATAAAGACATCCTAACGATAAACTTTTACTCTATTAAACTTTGCAGCGACTACAAATCTATACAAAAACTTACTTGTAGTTTTTGTTGTGCTTAGTACAAATGTGCAAAAACAAACGTATTTCCAGACAACTAAGTTTGTTTATCCTAAAAAAAGCTCAATAATCTGCCAGCAAGGTTAACAAATAAAGATTTTTTGTTTAAAATAAGAATATTTTACGCTCCCCACTTGCAGATAATTTAGCTTGTTTAAAGGATAACATCTCTTTATTTTGACATATTTCTGAAAACCAAAAAAATTTTTTTTTGCTTGTTTTGAAAATGCTTCTTGATTTAAGAATTTCTGCATATATGAACTAGAAACAAGACAAAAACTTAG